TTTAGACTAAAAATATTTTTGTGTATATTCTTAGATTATAGCGTATTTTAGCTTATTTTACTGTGTATCTGTCCCCTCATGTGACTTTGATGGCGTTGAACTAATCCTGGATCCAGCCTGCAGGCAATAAAGCCTGGCACGCCACACTTCATTTTTTGCAGAAATGTTGTTAGCATCGAATTGACTGCTAGTGTTGCTTTTGTTGTTCTTTGGCCAGTTTTGCCGTATAGAGAAGGAGAGAGAATTTTATACGTTTTGGTTAAAAGCATATAATTGCATTGTATTTACAAATTTTCAACAGACAAAATTATATTCTTTTCAAAATATCAGCATCAGGTTTATTCTTAGAGTATTCTTAAAGTTTCGCAAATTGTATCCAGGATATTCTTACAGAATACATTCTAATAATAAAATAGTGTATTGCTCTCTGTGCAACGTTTCACGTCTTTTTTTATTTGTTTGCTTTGAATATAAAAAGACAGGTTTGAAATTCGAGACAATTTTGCTCAATAGGGATGTTTCGTCAGCTCGTGGCATAAAACCTCCTCCACTGTTTTATCTAATATTAAGTAAACCGGCCTATAACTCTGAAATCAAAAGAGCTCTATAGTTAGTCTTGTTATACGAGCGTAATGTTTATATGTTGATGTTGTAATCAACATAACGCACCCTGAAGCAAAGGTTTTCGCTGCGAACGCAAACTATAGTCTCAAAACACTAAATTCTAAACAAACACCGAGAAACATAAGTAGGGGAATAAAGATTAAACTGTTTCATTTAAGCCTTGACTTGAAAAAAAGAAACCGAGATTCTATCATAAAATATTTACTAAAATACCCTCTTTTGGCCAAAACCTTTAATATTTATGCAGACAATTTACCTAGCCGATTTTAAAAAGTTCAATTTGCAAATGAGTTTTTCCATTGAAATTTGTATTCTGCGAACGCAAATTAATACGCAGACACAAATTAAAATTGATAATTCAAAGTAGGTGTACGAGACTCTCAGTATTATTTTAGCTCAGCTATTACGCAACATGGCGAAGACATAGGTCGGTGGCCGCAGCATATATCACCTTTTGCGTGAGCGCGCAAGTAAATTTTTCCATTAACGGGAATTTTAAAATAGACTGTTAAACTGGTATTGATTGCCGATCGAGTTGGCTTGCGCGAGTGGTTTTGTTATACCTCTCTCCAAGAAAATCACACTGCAAACATATCAATGTTTGATTTAAATCGTATTAAACAAACACAGAAGCAAAGCACTGAAGATGTCACAATATTACACAAGCATGGCCTGTGCAATTTCCCATGCAACGACAAATTGTTTGAACTGCTAAAATCCTGCTCTTTAAATCTGTGGGGACCAAACGCTTCTCTGTTAAAAGCATTTCATTATAAACGAAAATTGTCTCGTATTGGCAATGATGACCGCATCAGGAGAAAGGGGAAAGATCACTAATTGCGTTAGCCTTGAGTATGATTGTAAGTACTTGCTAAAATATTTGTTTACATATTGGCTTAGTAACAGTCACTATTTTCACTCGCAATCGTGTCAAGAGCCCGACCTCATCGTTGGCAGGGATTCCTGAAGACTTTCTGTAGCGGTTACCGTCATACAGAACCAAAATGAAGGCAGCTTTCTACGCAAATTTTCAGTAGTTTAAGGTTGCAACTGGCAACAAAATAACCAGCTGTATTAACCCGAGGTTTCGCGGGGTCTTTTGTCATAGGAGATGACAGTTGCAGAGAGAGCCGCGCGAAGGAGTGGAGTGGGAAACTCCCAAACAACGTGCACAGAGCCATGCTGAGCACGTTCAGAAATTTGCATTAAAAAAATAAATAAATAACAACAACGAGAAAACTGCTTCAAACATAAGTTTATCATTTTCATGTTCAAAGGATTTCGATACTAAACCACCATCCTGTTTACTTACTAAATTTTTTGGAACTTTACTTTAAAGAAAGCAAAGTGTTTATAGACGGAGCAATGGACACCTGTCTGCGCCATTTGTCGAAGAAAAATCTTGTTCGGGTGCGAAGGAGTTAAAATGTCAGGAAACTCGTTGCTTTTGAAGAAACTAAAATATGTTTTCACTCAGGAACTATTCTATATATCCTCGCTCAGGCAAGCTTCAACCTCATCGGAAATGATTGCCCCAAAATAAAACGAAAATTCCTGAGACTTTTGGATGTGGTCAAGGTAACATGCCTTATGCCTATTCTTCACCAGTCCATGTGGCTTCGCCACAAGTTAAGATATAAACATTTTCCGTGTTTCTAACAAGTTTTAGTATAAATCTACCGGCATTCTAGTTATCGAATGCCTTTCTCTTATTGGCTATGACCCTCACTATCTGTTCTGTTGTAGATAGTGAGTAGTGTAGCAGTGTGCGCTTCAGTGTTAATAATATGGCAGACACTTCTTTGAGTTTTCGAAGTGTCTGTGAAAAAGATTTTGATAAAGTTTTGAAGACTAGTAAATTTATACGAAGACAATTAGATTATTCACTACCGATTTCTATACGCGATTGAAAACTAGAGATTATAATCCGCCTAATTGTGAAATAAAACACAAGTAAAAGCTTGGGGGAGCGAGAAATGTTAGCATTTTCGAGTTCTCCCAAACTTTCATGAGTGTTCCCAGAACTCGATAGAAACATGGAAAAAAAGTTTTCTGGTATGACCTTCCAAGCCTTGCACATTAGTGTATAGGAGATAACGAGGTATGATTATAGAGTTATGTTTTGTCTTCGATTTGCGGTGAATCACATAAGAGAGGGTACTTATGGGGTTGACTAATAGCTAAACTTTGTCAAAATTTTAGCTGTCAGGCAAGAATTGATGCGTTTTTTTAGCTAATAACTGATCTCTGAGATCTTTCACTCGCTGATAATTGAGAAATGGGTAATTAAAATTTTGATTGGTACGGTCAGTGTTAAAATCGCCGCAAATGCAGACCGCCTTACGATGCGGATCAACATTCCAGAAACTTTTCTCGACTAACGAATATCTGAACTCAAAACTCTGGAGCTCGTTTACATTCGCCACACTAACAACCTAAGACGTAAAAAAAAAAATTGTAAATGCAAATTTAATGTCAAACACAGGGAGTGCTTGCGCAATCACCGTGCCATTTGTCTGAGAGAAACGCGCGAATATCCAATCCCTAGGATGTGGCGGAGGTCTGAAACCATGACTTCCTTTTTTCTCACATCGTTCTCTATTTCGGAACAGATCGTGTGCACAAAATTCGTTCAGTTTTGATGGATCAAGAGGAAATTGTCGTAGCAAATGTTTGAACACATTTATCAGTTTTGTTGCCACGACAGAAACTACGCTTGGAGAAAATCCTGCAGCAGTTTCAGTCAAGCAGAATACGGACCTTTTTTTTTTGTCTTACGCAGCAGGGAATATTCTAACGGCAGAATTAAAAGTTTTCGAACAGAATCAATTAGCAAAACTTGGTAATTGAATAAGCTAGGGAATAAGCAAACTCAAACATAAAATAACAGATTCGGAGAACAGAAAGAAACGCTAATTCGAAGTCAAAGCAAGCAATGAAAAATTCATTACAATCAGTGGCAATGCTCACAAAAATTACCAGATTACAACGCAACGTATCCGCGTTATATAAAATCATCCTCTTATGGCCCACGAAAGAGTCAGTTACACAGAAATTCAGCTGATGGGAGCTCTAGCCAGAACAATACACATAACCTTGGCGTAGCCAAGATCGAAGGAAAAGCCTCGTGCAATAATTTTAGAGGTGGACAGAAAATTGCGACTCTTTCTTCTTCAGCAAAAACGCTATTTTCGCATTTTCATTAACTATACCCAAGCATGTTTTCAGTAGCCAAGCGAGCATAAAAGTACAAATGAGTTAAGAAAAACGCTGAAAAAAAGAAAAGTAGGCAAAGAAAAATAAAAAACGCTCATGCGATAGTTATAAGGGTGGTGGTGACTTAAACCCAGATAACAAACACCTTTAACAATGTGGGATTAATTGATCGGTAAGTTATACTCATATATGCATGCGTGCGGTTATTAAAAAACCGTTGTAGTATGCCACAAGCAATATGGTAACGGATCTACACAGGTCTAAGTGAATGAGCCCACACACCGTTTTTGCAGCTGGGACTTAAGGCGTTCTCCATCCCACCATGTATTGTGTATTGGTCAGCTGACTCAGCAGTCTTCACCTATATGAGCAGTGTAGGTTAACGGGCGCTCGTCATACGTCAGAAATTGCGTTGCTATCAGGTCCGTCGCTGGCAGGTTGAACACTGACTACTGAGGAAAAAAAACACGCGGTAAGTGTGAGCGTCCAGTTAATTACTGAAAACGAGAAATTGATACTGTAGACAGGGGTGTCTGAAAGAACAACCACAAACCGCCCTATGTATTTGATAGAAAGTTTTCGGCACCTTTTTGCCACGATTATTAACATGGATATTTTTTATTTTTTGTTATAAATATAACGGTGTTTAGCAAAATGCAATTTTCAACAAGTTTAGTATTTAAATCAGTGATTTTTTGTCAGTTGGCTAATTTTAGCGAAGTTAAGTAACGAAATCGTGATTTGAAAACGGTTTCCGATTGTACTGGGATGGCTGTATATCAGTGAAATACGAACATTGCACGTCAATCTTCAATTCAAAATCATGTAGCTTATATTACGACCAAGATAAATATTTATATCTCGAAGTCCACTAAAGGCCGTACAAAAAATTGTTCGCAGAACGAAACAAAATCAAGAGTACTTTTTAACGAGGCGAAGCTATAAACACGCAGGATTTCACTAAAAAATATTTGAACAAAAAAACTGAGAAAGCTATAACCAGTTAATGTCGTTGACAAAAAACTCATTTACACGGTCAGTTTTAGATTATCATAAGCCATCGCTGCTATGAGAACTTTGAACAAAAGCGAACCGATATCCGTTCACTAGATACATCAATCATTCTTCTGTTATATGCTAGCCACAATACTTTCTTCCTCTGCAGTTAGCAGAGGAGGTTAGCCCGTAGATGTGGCTGTCGGTTATATTCGGAAAGGTTAGGATAATTTTTGACTGGCTAGAAGCTAAGGGAGATCAAAAATTGCCACAAACCTTTTGATTTCGCAATCGTCCGTCGTGTAACGGATTCACGTGATAAAAGCGCCTTGAGGCATACGGCCCAGAAGAGAAAAAGTTGAAAAAAAAAAAGCCAGCCTGCATCAGTGGGCAGAGATTTTGGAGTTTTAGCGTGGGATAGGCTCAAACCACCTCGCTGTAGTAGTCATTTGACTGTCAGTAGGTGATATGACTGATAGGATAAAATAATAGGCTTTTCGACCAAGTGGTCAGAAGATAATAACAAACTAAGTTGATATATCACTGTAAGTTTGGCTGGGTTTTTTGTCAAGCGATCCGGCAAAATTTCAGTGAACTTATTACCAGGTCCTGAAAAAAAACATGATCATGGTTGAAAAAAAGACTGATTTAAACAGGCAGTCAGTATAACTTTTGGACGTTAACAAAAAGGATTTCCATTACGGGCGAGGGCTTTGTGTTCATAAAACAAAACGGAAGAATGATGCAATTTTTCAAAAAAAAAAAAGTGAAAAGGGGGAAAAGTCGGCTCGTAGTTTCAAACGACCTCTGATTAAGCGAACTCTTCTCCGTTTGATTCTTTAGTTCATTAAGAGAATAGATCATAAAAGGTGTCAAGCGGACGGAGGTAATGGCGGTTAGGTGGTGCCGTGAAATAATATTAAAAATAAATGTACGGACCATGATATGGCGTATTATAGTAAAACAAGATGTACACAAAAATGCCGAAAAATAAATTGATAATGATTCGGCGATAGAAACACTGTCTGTTGAATTCCATGAGTGATCAACTAAATGTAAGCTTAATATTTAGTTTGCACATTGGTGATTTGAGTGGGTGAAGGACAGAATACGATGTGACTTCAGTGTTCTTCGATCAACTGTTGTATTTCTTCGCTCGACCCCCGACTTTTAGGCATTGGCACCCCATGGCTATGACACCCTTTAACGTTTGTCATTTAGGTCTATAAAAAAGCTTTAAAATGACGGTTCACGTAAAAGAAATGGCTGCTGACCATTGAATCGTATTGGCACTGTACTTTGAAACTGTTGGCCGATCCGCCATCTTGTTTTGCGCGTGGGAAGTGCTCGCGTTTCTTACTGCATTATGGGATAGGAAATAGCTCTACTCGCGTGGGAGTACATTCACACGTGGGCCGAAGAGATCTCCTCATGAATGAAAATTGACAGAATTTTACTCTCTGAAGGCGTTTTGAGCTTCGATAAGATGCTTGGTACGGCATGATCCATGCCTTCATGGGGTGAATTGTGCCGATTTTCACTCGCGAGAGAGAGATAGCGTCCCGACTTTGCTTACTGGTGCGACACCGCTGATTTGATTTCCACCGGCAAATTTGAAATTTGTTTGCCGTTTGTCCGAAGGAGATGCTCTTTACTCATTAGTTCAGTGGATTGTTGTGGTTTTCGACCGATCGTTCGTGTAGAAGCGTGGCATTCAGCGGAGAAAGCGAACGAAGAATTTCAAGTAAGTGATAACGTACATTTCTGGCGCCCGAAGAATGTGCGAGTTGTTCGTAAATATTTCCATTCGAGTCCGTCCGTTGCATATTCCTATCTAAAATCGAATTCTAGTTGACACAGAACAGCGTGCTTCTATTGACTTTGGGGGAGACTTTTTGGAAAATGTTAAGAAATGATGTGTTGTCTTCAAAAAATTGATTTCTTCTCAAAGATGTCCATGTACTGAAAATGACAGCAAACACAAAGTACAAAATCATATTAGTCCAGCGGAATTCCGATAAAATGTACAGGCCAAAGCGCTAGGAAAAGTTTGTTTGTGGTTAGTTTCTATGACTTCCTGCCGGCAGAAGTTAATTTTCCGGCATTTCGTAAGACTTATGTTTGAATACAAACTTGATTGATTACGCAATCTTTAATATTTATAAGAACTCAACTGTTATGATTACAGACATTCTAATTTACATCAAAGTAAAAAGAAATTACTAAGATAAGACATGAACTTTTTTGAAAAAAAAGAAAAGAAAACTTTATAAAGGTCCAGATGATGTCACAAAATGAAAAAATCCATCTAAAATAATAATAGGCCCTTGAAACAAATGTTATTGACTGAGTGGGAGCTGTTTGAACTTCAATACAGGAAGATATTGAGCTCAAGGTCGGGCACAGTTTGAGTGAGGCTGCTTTTGGTGTACTGACAAAGAGCCAAAGACTTTCACTTGCAGCTTCACCAATTCGGGAAATATACTACTAAATCATTTTAATCATAATCAAGAAAATTTATGGTGACAGTTTCTTAATTACGCCTTCAGGGCTCTGTAAGTTAAATGATCAAGAGTTTTTTTTTATTATTATTATTGGCATGTAAAGAGAAAATGATATGCCAGTGATATATCTAAAAAAAAGAAAAAAAAGTTTAATAAAAAGAAAAGAACATATCTGAGAAGTGTCCAAACATGCAAAGGAAAAATTTTCTAAGAGTGGAATTCATGCTGGACAAATAGTATCATGGTAAAATGACAGGTCGGTCTGTTGGTACTATGTATTTCTTCTGCGATGGCTTCACAGATAACAGAAGTGAATATTTCAAGTTTCATAGTATTTTCCTGAGAACATGTTATGAAATATACATTGTGTGAAATGGCCATCCACGAGTATTATCTGTAGAGCATCGACCAAGAATTATAAGTAGTTAGTAATCAACCACATATTTATTACACAACAGAAGATGAATGGTTACAGTGTATCACCCAAAAATGAGGTCAAGATGGCTGGATTGGCAAGATCTTTTTTTGTGTGTGGTCATAACTAACCTTAAGACACAGTTGAGGGCGGTAAACGCGCAGAAAAGGTCAAGGCCAATATCCAGACAAGTTGATCAAATGACCTTGGTCGATATACGACTTATTATATCACATACAAGTCACCATTTACTTGTGGGATACAGAAGGCAACTGAGTGGGCAGGATATCCCCATCCTGCCCACCCTGACTCAGTAACCAATCATGTGTACAGAATTTGGTTTCTCTTGCTTGTTTTCGGGGAGAGCCATGTGCATAAAAACATGTAATACAAGACGGTGCAACTTAGCAGAAAGACTGTACGATTGTGTTTTAAATCAACAGTTAGTAGTAATAGTTGGTTGGTGCCAAGCCAGCAGTCAACTTATCAGTAATATAACAGGTGTCTGATTAGTTGACAGTGTTTTATATCTTCTGGGCATAAATGCAGAAAGTAACTATGCACATGCTCTGAGGACCTTCAATTAACTAGCAGAAGTTGTCTGTGTAGTCGATCTGCATTCAAGCTAATGTGTCATAAGCATTATATCTTACTATATTTTACATGCGGTCTTAATTAACCATGTATGGTCGTGTGACATAATGGTGGAAAAATAGACTACGTGTAAGTTCTTAATTGACTGAGTGGGAGTTGGTTGGTCAAACAGGAAGATAGTTTGTTTTATTAAAGTTGCGACCATTGCAGGTGAAGCGCAGTTAGTTCCTTTCCATCGATTTGTAGAGAGCTAAAGGTCTTCCTGTCCTGCTCAACCAACTCAGTCAGTAAGTGTTAAATGCCATGTACAGCTTTTCTTTATTCTGTTTTGTTAGGAGAACCTGAATTTTTTTGCATGCCTATATGTAACTACTAACACACATCATTTGAACACATGAGTTAGGTGTGTATAAATAACTAAACTAGGTGTGTAAGCTTGGCTAGGGCTGGGCAAGTTTTAAGAATTGCAGAGGAGCCGCTCAATTTTTGTAGTGGTTTTCACAAGGCTGAATACAATAGATTAATAAATTCTACATTTATTTTGTTTTGTTCCCCTTAACCTCAGAGCTGTTTAGAATTCTGATACTCACTGATGTACATTTTCGAAACTGTGTTCTGTAAATGACCTTATAGATTATACAAGTCATGCAAATGGACAGGTCATGTGCCAATGATGTCATTATATTGATATAAATTATACTAGTTTTAACTTCCTCCCTATGATCTTTAAAATTAATTAAAATCAAGTTTGACCTTAATTACACCCTTAGGTTCCTGCCAGTCACATGTCATTTAGGAGGAATGAGGTTTTTTTCAGTCATGTATCATTTCAAAGCATTACTATACTTGTCACTTAAGCTACAATGGACGACAAAAGTAGTTAAGACTCTTAGAAAATGATGCTTTTCAATATTTAACCTCCTATTCTACTATTTCATGCACATCTAGTGTTAATTCTCTGATACCACCTAGAAATAGAAAATCAACGTTGTTTGGGGGGAACAGGGAAGAAATGTTTCCAAGATGCTTGAAAATTGAATTTTACTGTTAAGTGTGTGAACTTTTGTCGCTCATAAGCAATGGAGCAAAGTTTCATTTTTCATAGTTTAGATCATAAAAACAGTTTGCAAAGAGTTATGGTTGGTCACTTGGTTTTATGTTAATTCAGATTTATATATATATTAAAAAATAAAGATTGACAAAGAAAGTCACCAACTAGGATTGTTTAAAAAAATCTGATGGTAATTAAAAATGACATGTGCAACAGAAACATTTTAGCACAGCCACATATGTTTGTGTGATCTTTTTTGTACATCAGTTCATATGTGGGAATATTGCACATTGGATACACGAAAATTAAGATATTAAACGTAACAATGCTCTTCTGAATTCTTTATGTAACAAAATGAAAAGAACTGTCTGTCTCACAATCAGTGGGAGAATTTTTATCAAAGCTGGAAACTAAGAGACAGTTCATTTATTTTCAGAGACAAACCTTCTAAGTTAAACCCAAATTGTTCAATAAAAAATTTTATACATGAATTTTAAAATTAATTTTATTATAAATTACAATTCGCTAAATCCTCCCACTCTTTATGTTTAATTTATAACATCAAGGAGATAGTATTATCCCATTTTTCCTGCCCACCCTTAAAAAAGGTCTCATTTCAATTTCAATTTTAGTTTTTCTTTAGTACAGATTGTTATCATGTACATGTATTTTCAGTGAAGGATAAAAAAACCCATAGGTTAGAGACTAACAAGGATTTTTGGTTTATTTATATATACATGAGTGTTGTCAGAGATACTATAGATTTAGGTTAAACTAGTGAAAAATAATTTCATTAATGTTCCAACATTGAAGGCAAATATATTCTACTTGAATGTTTTTGTCTCAGTTACCATTTTAATACATATAAATGGAAAATTATGTTAACAACATTTCTATATTGACGATGTTGAAGAGTGAGAAAACAGTCCTTTAATTTTAAAAATTATGCACTTTATTATATCATTATAATGAAATTGGATAAAACAAACCTTTGGTTTTCATTTAAAGCACCTTGGTTTTCACAACGGTACCAAATTTATTGTACACCACAGAGTTTAGCTAAGAAAATTAAGACAATGTTTTATTGATTTGCTAGACCTAATCCCAGGGGAACATTTTCTGTAAAAGTAATGCAAATTACCTCAATGTCAGAAGACTTGTAAAGAATGCTTCAAAGTGGCACAGAATTGATGCCAGAAGACAAAATCACTGATGTAACATTATGTTAACTAGAACAATATCTTGCATCCAAATCACCTATTAATTTATTGATTTATTCACAGATATTGATATTTTCAACATTATAAATCTAGTATACTACTGCAAGGATGCTAATACTACCAGCACTTTTGCCTCTCATGTCAATTATCTGATAACGCCCGGTGTATCATCTTCCCAATGTCTTAAGTGAGCATGTTTTATATTGTTCAATTACATGTTTTTTTCTTTTTTTTCAGATACAGATTAAAGTCTCCAATACACTCTCAGCATTCTGTTTAAATCACAGGATTCAAGACCAAGCAAACATCCGTTGTAGAAATTAAGGTACAAAATGTTTATGTATGTACATGATGCATATTCTGTTGAAGCCATTGCTGCTTGTACAGTCAAGCCTTTTTAATAGTCACACCAAAGGGGCTGACCTGAGTGGATGTATTGCAGAGATTATATGAATTCTGATTTCTCTTGTATCAAGTGAACTGTCTGTCCATGATATAAAAAGGTAAATGCTGCATACGAGCCACGTGGCCCATCAGGCCGGAGCTTGTCCCGGTTTCTGTAGTATGAAGCGACTAGGAGTATTTCTACTCCCCCCTGGATGGGATGCTAGTCCATCGCAGGGTTACCCCCAGCATTAAGTTCGCNCTTCCCCTTGGATGGGATACTAGTCCATTGCAGGGTTACCCCCAGCATTAAATTTGTTGGTACCCATTTGCACACCAGGGTGGAGAGAGGCACTGTGAGATTAAAGTGTCTTGCCAAGAACACAATACTATGTCCCTGGCCAGGGCTCGAACCCAGACCGCTTGATCCAGAGTCAAGCATGAAACCAGCGTGCCTCCACTGTCCATAATATAGAGGTGTCCATATTGTGGAAGTGATTGTTTAGGAGTCTGAGTTTCAACTGTATGCAGATATAAATAGTGGCCTATTGTAAGCAGCTTTCCAGGCCAAGCATCCTTAGCATGGACCAACTAGAAGTATTAATTACTAACTCCTGGGTGGGAATTTCAAAGCTACAGTAGTTCATCACAGATTCCTCCCCAGAACATCTATCAGGTTTCCTAGCAATTTGCTGGTTCAGTATTTCATACTTCTGGGTGGAGAGAGGCATTGCGACAGTAAAGTCTCTTGCCCAAGGACACAATGCTGTTAGCAGGAGGGGTGGGTGACAGGCCTATAAAAATTTGTGTAATAAAACATACACTGTACACAGGCAGCCATATGAAATTTCAAGTAGAAAATAACAATTTTAAGCCTAGGGCAGTCATATCTTTCCCAAGATACATAGGGACATCTCCAGAAGAGGAGAAAAACTGCCTTAGTTTTAAGTATGGTCACAAAGTTAACGTATCAAAAATAAACCATGAAATGAAAATATCAGGGCAAGTTTCTAAATACAATAATCACGTTTCTCAGAAACGGATGAGGAAGGTCGAAATATTTAGTTACTGTTATATAATTCCTCAGTACCATATGGTAATCATGTTAAGCTAATTTTTTTTTGTCTCTGACTAATATTTCAATAGATTCCTTCGTACTCAATCTAATCGTATCTGTATGATTTAATCCAAACCTCATTTATCCCTTTAGTAGCAAAAAGAACCGTAAAGCTTCCCATCCAGCGCTAGCAAAATTGTTTTACCGAATGACACAGGGACCGCGAGTCTTGCGCGCAGCAAAAACAGAAAGCTCTCGAACTGCGCGGGCTCGCCGCGCGTACCTCACGCTTCACGCCACAGGCTATCACGAGAACTGACGAATTTAACTCCGCGAAACCCACTTAATTTCCCACGGGCTGCACGCGGCGAGGAACTAACGTCATGGAAAGCATGCATACGTTGTGGTACTGACAGAAACCTTTCTATTTATAGACCATTTACGACAGACTATGCTTCAGTTCCGCTACTAAACTGTTGCTTACACAAGTCGTCTTCCAGAAGCTTGTTTCGGTCGGACCGGTGTGGTGTAAGGCGGCGTTAAAGGTATGTTTCAGTTTACTATAACTTATGAACTATGACGTTAGGGTAAAATTTCGCTTGAGCATGCTTCCCGTCCGATTTATGACCCAAACGTTTAGACGGAGGTTAAGAGGTATTTTTAAACTATCTAAGACATTGATTCCAAGAAAGCACCTAATTTACACTTATCATTATTATTAGTACATACTATACAAGTGAATAGTGCTTTTCGCGCGCTCTGATTGGTTAACTCGGAGTTGATTAGCAAGTGCTATTCACCTCCGAGTAACCGGTGCGAGAGATTTTAAAATTTCCGACCGCTTGTCACACATAAAATAACGTTTTGGTCCGCTAATTATTCAGCTTGTGTGGTATATGCTAAAACAATTATTCACCTCAGTGTCGGTGAAAGTGATGGATATTTACCTCGCCACTTCGCGGCTCGGTAAATATCCACCACTATTCACCTCCACTTCGGTGAATAATTGTTAATTATTCCTTTAAAAAATTATCGGTGAATGTTTTTTTTTTTGTTGTTTTTTTTTTTGTTTAATTTTTTTTTTTTTCTCTCGCGAGTTCCTTCTTTGGTTTTGTTTCGCATTGTTCTTTTTTTGTTTTAACTTGTAAATGACTCGGCGACTCCGTCAGACAAATCCCCATATAGCATCATTTAGAGGCTTATTCAATACATTTATAACCTACTTGACACTAAGACTAAAGTGGGTTTTCCAAAAAGGAACTAATTAGAAAGATAAATAAACTGCAACTGACAGTGATGTTTGCTTCCTTGTTTCGAATCATCACCGCAGCAGACATGTTATTCGTGCAAGCGTTTTTAAAATCGAAAAAATGTTACTTGGCTGTGTGATTTCGTCAAACAGAACATTTTGCGATCGTTTAGGCAACTGCGACTGTAGTTGGGCAGCAAAGACAAGACTTCAGAACATCTTGATGAGGTAAAGTTAAGTTATGTAAAGTGAATGAAAATCAACAAAAGTTGAATTTCCGCTTAACGTGCCGATAGGAAAGTATCAACGGAAGCCATTCTTCCCAGCTACTCAGTGGAAGCAATTGATTATTGCAATCTCGCGCTGTTTACCCCGTATTCTCCTACAATGATTAATTACGCGTGAAGTAAACTAGGGCAAGATATAGGAACTAAATATTTCCAATGTCCAACGGCAACTTGTCATGGAAGCCGTCTTGACAACCAGACTTCCTTTCGGTGGTAACCAAGACGTGTAACACATGCTCACACGTTTGCTGGAACAAAACAAAGTCGTATATGTGTAATGTTTATCTTCTTTTGTAGTAAATTACCCATCTCATCAATTGAGTTGTAATGGTTTTAGTCGCGCGCAAACCTCCTCCGTGTACTTCGAAATTGCTAAGGAGTTCTTGTTTAGGCACGTGTATACATCAATTTCGTCATTGCAGTTGGCAATTGAGGTTAAAAATGTGTTTGTGGCATGTATTAAAATTTGCATAGCTGCTGCAGGGTGATTTCAATATTATTATGAAGTTGTGGTTAATTGTTGAGCACAGAGTAAATTATTTTCTTGTAACTGTCGTCGTTCGCTTATGACACCCGTTTTTCTTCAGCAGTATAGACAGTGCAGCTCATAAACTTTCTTTTGCTTCAAATGACGGAAAGAAAATATGCTAATATAAAATTTTCCGACGAAAGTAGTGGAAAAAAATTAATACAACATGGTTCGTACATAAATTACTTGGAATGCTAAGTGTATTAAAACTGTTTAAAGAAGAAGCTGACTTTATATTGTAACGCTATTTATTTGTTCAACTTCGGCGCCGTTCGAGTCACTTTTTCAACAGTACAAAAAGCCACCCTTTAGATCGCAAGAAAGTTGCCACCTCAAAACAAGTTGAACGAGATTTCGGTTTGAAAATGTCGCGCGTGTCTCGTTGGAAGTTACGAGATTTCGCGTTGTGGACTTACGTCGCTATTCCGACTTGTTTGGGTCTGCGGGGGAGGTTGTAGTGCGCCATTTTTAGACCACATTTACGTCATCTGTGCGCTTATTATAGCTAATTGCAGACAAGAACACAGGTTTGAAAGTTGATCGAACGATATTAACTAGCTGACTGATAAATAGTAATTTGGAGAGTTCACGGGGGTGTAGTGAAGCGATAAATGGCGAAATTTAATTTTTTTTGCCGCATTGTTACATTGTTGACCAGCGTTTGTCGACAATAAGGAAATCATTTACAGACCATTAAATTCTCCCAGTTGAAGTTCAAAGGAATGTTTGACAATCCATATGGAGAATTTATGCCATGAAGAGCAACAAACCACAGAAAAAACATCTCTCCTTTCCTCGCATCTAAACTGACACTTGACCGAAATATCAAACGTTTCAACTATCAGCTGTCATCGACAGATACTCATTTGAATTTCACATTTCAACCAATCAAAATACGCCTTGTAAGTCGGTTATTCAAATAAATTTCGAACGAACGACAAAAGCCGGTGTAAAACGGTTAATTACGAACTAGACTGCAAATTTACGTTATGGGTTTTTTCGTATAGTACCTATATCTTGCGGACTCTACATAAAAAATGCTATTTTTGTTAAACAGTAACTAAGATCAGTAAAATTTCTTGTTAAACACATTACTGAATATCGTTTGCCAGTTCTGAACAATTCGAAATTTTTGTTCCTGAACGCGTGTTCGTTTAAAAACATTCAAGGATAATTTGATGTGGATGAAGGACCCACGTATTCACTTTTTTTTTTCGGGTTCTGTCAAAGCACATGTTTGAAAGCGGAACGAAACGAGAAAGGAAGTGTTACCGGCAACGGATTGCACCACTCAGCTGAAGTGTGTTGTCATGATAGGCGTGGGCCACAAGGAATCATCTGTTTCCGTGTGTGTCATATCAGAATTCAATAATAATGGCGTGTTTTGGAGTTCAGGGCGCGTGACTGACGTTACAGCCAGCAGTCATGTTGTATAATTGCAACAAAAGGTTGCACTACTATCTTTTGTTTTAACTTCCGCTAGACCAACACAACTGTTCAGTGTTGATATCATAACAATCTTTTGCCCATTAATAGACCTGTTTTATAACCCTGGTGTCTACGTTATTGGGAGGAAATTCGGGGACATCTTGACTGGGTGGTGGGTGGTCCACTCTCAATTCTTTTTTTTTTTTTTTTCGCTTTCGAGAGGAACGAGGAACGATTCGGAGAAATATTCGTTAGTTAACCTGTCAAAATAAATGACCATACTCAGACGACCTCAGTGATTAAAAAAAGAAAACTAACCCGAGTGGCGTCACGATTATTTCCGAACGTATCGCGAAGATTAAGTTGCATGGAAGCTGGTGCGGGGGATATCATTTAAACAGCGTTCTTTTGTTCCAAAACATTCTGCTTTGGTAATGAGTAAATGTTCCAATTGCGGTATATATCCGCAAGCCTGAAATAGGAAAGACTGCCAACAGTCGTTTATATACTAAGCGATCGCACGTTCTGTTGTAAAAGTGAAAACTGCAACAGGAATTTCGGTGTCCCTGACTTTTGAGAACGCCCTAATTTATTGTGGGAAGTATTAGACAAAGGATGTGTTAGGCAGTAACTAAGGAAGTTAATAACTTGCTTCTGGGCGTATAGCTAGCAGCGACAGAGTAGAGTGTGTGAGTTGTTTTTCGTTGACAACAATGTCGGTGAGATCTCAACACTTATCGTTTTACTTGGAAGACTTCTAGGTGATTTCAGTTCACAAATAGGTCAGTGATCGAATCTTCCGCACCCAGATTCCTTTTCTTCCGACTAAAAGCTTCCTGTTTTTTTTTTTTTTTT